CGCGGTGATATAAGGAAAGGTTTGATTCATTTTATGATTTGAGACTACGAGGTGGTACCTCGGTAGGGATCTTGTTTTCATTTCCCTTTTCTATGCACTTGTCTTTGATTGTTATTTTCCTTGGCATATTATTAATTGTTTCCCTATTTGTTGCACTATTTGCTTAGTTCTATGTAGCTAATCTTGTTGTGCTAGTCGTTTCTCCAAACTTCATCGCTGCCTTTATTATACAGTACATTTCGTGGTGATCATTTCTTATGTGCCATTCATTGTCTCTACTCTTATTTGTTGACTTGAATTCTGGTAGAACACTTGCACAAACATACACGTAGTTAAATAACCCATATCGGTCGTAAAAGATGAATCCTGACGTCATTGACCATTATACGTACTCTTGTCTACTTGCCTTCTGTGTGAGAGACGTTCTATTGGCACGTGAGTCGTCTGTTCGGTTATGAGTTGTAATGTGGGCACAAGATGCCAAGTGATTAAGGTTCACGAATTGGGACCTGTGATTTGTGATATTGAGGTTTGGCACCTCGTGGAAATCCTTGGGTAAACCTGGTGTGGAAGTGGTTGTTCCTACTAGTTGTCACTTGTTTTCTTTTCTTCGGTTTCACCGGATTTGGACTGTGCTCAGCTTACTCTGCAGTGTTATTAGCTATTGTGTCTCATTGCTATCTGTTGCTTTTAGTCCCTTTTTTAAGTGTTGTATTATTATTGTCATCATATCTAGCCTTATACTGATATTATTCCCCGTCAGTTCAACTTGTATACTTGTTCAGATTGTTTAGTCCAGTGGGTGTCTTGACTGTCCCTCATCACTACTCCACTGAGGTTAGTCTTGATACTTACTGGGTACCGCTGTGGTGTACTCATACTACGCTTCTGCACATTTTTGTGCAGATCTCAGGTGCCTCGGCTATTGTTGATTATTAGCTAGATGGTCGAGCATTGCTGTGGAGACTCAAGGTAAACATGTCGTCACGTTCGCAGGCCTCGGAATCACCTTTTTATATTGTAATTGTACTGTTTAATTTCTATTTCGAACAGTTGTATTTAGGGATTCTTTTGGTAAACTCAATCGAGCTTATGACTTTTACTACCTGTTTTGGGATTGTAAGCTGTGTATAAAGATTTCTATTTTATATTTGTCAGTTGATGGTTGAGTTCCTCGATTTATTTCGTAAGTGTTAGGCTTACCTAGTCTTAGAGACTAGGTTCCGTCATGACATCCGACGAAGGAAAATTGGGATCGTGACACATATAAAGCTTGATCTCAAACATGTTATCTACTTACATGCGAAGATACTGCAATATTATGACGATCTACAAAATAGCCCACTGTTGCTACTTCCTCAAATCATACTGAGCATGAAACAAGTAGAGAATGTGTATGGTTGAGATAGGTGATACATTTCATTAGAGGGAGATGTGGTATGAAATGTGAAACCAAAATACCTACAGTTTTATATGAAGATAAGACTGCGTGCATAGCGCAATTAAAGGGAGGATTCATAAAATAAGATAGATCGAAACACATTTCATCAAAGTTATTTTTCACACATGATCTCCAGAAGAATGGTAATATTGATGCAGCAAATCCGTTCAAGTGATAATCCGACAGATTTATTCACTAAATCTTTACCAACTTTAACTTTTTAGAAGATGGTATACAAGAATGGAATGCGAAAACTAAAATATTTGAAACATGGTTTTGATCACAGGGTGTAAATTACGTGTTTTGCTCCTTTTTCCTTACTAAGGTTTTTTTCACAAGGGTTTTCTTGTAAAGTGTTTAATGAGGCAGCTAGTAATGCGTATTACTTAATATGTCTACTCTTTTTCCTTTACTACGATTTTTTCCCACGGGTTTTTTTCTAGTAAGGTTTTAACGAGGCACTTAATAATGAACATCCAAGGGGGAGTGTTATAAAAATATTTTATTGTGAATGTCTATTTACTACTCTGTTATAGATAAGATTATCTATTTAGTACTATATTGAAGTTTATCTAACAACTGATGCAGGCAGGTGCCAAGCAACTCAATGAAATGACTTGCAGCAGCTTCTTATTAATCAGGCAGGTTGCGAGCAGCTCATGCAGATAGCTTACCAGCAGCTCAAGAAAAGCCTCGCAGTTGCTTCCTTTTTTCTATAAATAGAGGAGATTTCAGTTCATTATGTACATCAGTTTGAAGTTCAATAATATATCGGTCTTTCTCTATACTTGTCTTTCGTTTATTTACTTTATAGTCTTTATTTTATAACACTTTTGTATTTTATTTGTTTTTTAGTTTATTACCGAGTTGTTCTGGTTAGCTTGTTTTGTTACTGATTGGCAGCTTTCTAAATTTTAACTGATTATAAGATGTACCTTTTGGATCCCTGTGGGTAATGTGAACGTATATTTGGGTCTGAGAAGGGCAGTTACATTGCCATTATGCTGAACCATGTTATTGATAGCTTCTAAGCAAATATGGATTAAGGATCCATTGCGACTCTACGTTGCCTTTGCTGCTAATATCAGTCGTGCACAGAAATTAGGATATTGTTTAGTGGAAATGTGGAATTATGTATCAACTGTTATATCAATGCTTGTAGTCATTAAGAGACAATTTTGCATATTTAAGCACAGAGAAGGAATCACTTTTGTTCCTTTGACGTAACTGAAGGTACATAGATGAATTTGCTTGTTCTAAAATTTGCTTGCTATTAGTCATCGTACGAAAGATTAATTGAGGGTATTGAAGTAAGAGTGTATGGGTAAACAATTATCTCTAATATGATTAATTCATGTTAGCATTAAGGAGGCATTCATAGGCCGCCATGTATCGCCAATACGACTCCAATGAAGGCCTTCCTAAGGTCGAAGTGGTTCTAGAAACAATGAAGGTTGCGGTCGAAGAGTCAGCAAGGATCAAGGTCGAGAAGTCGTCAAAGATCAAGGTCGAGGTCGAGCATCCTTGACCGAGTTATAACGGCTAGTTCCAAGATATGACACTAAAGAGAATATTCTAGTCGATATTCTCCGCACCTATGCTATTAGTTTTTCTAGGAACATGTTCCCTATAAATAGAAAGAGACAATGATAGAGGACATGAGATATTCATTTGTAAAAATACACATTGACTTTATAGAGAAAATCTGATCATATTACAAGCATACAAAAATAACCTTTTTACTAAGATTTTTGTCTAGCATTTCTACTGGATCCAAGAACAACCTAAGTGTTCAAAGGTTTATCAATCATTCATCATTGTCAGAGAGAATATTCATAGATCTCACCCCTTTTCGGGTGACTCACACGTTTCTATTTAGTAAAATATCATTTATTATTATTTATTACTATTTAATGCCATATTCAATCTTTTTGGATCATTGAACACTGCTATTATTGCTTACATTCATTGCCATCCAGACAAATATACAAGTTATTTGTCATAAAACCGATAGCTTTGTTATTGGGATATTATTATTAGCTAAGATTGACTCTTATTTATTTAAATCTAATTGGTAGAACCAAGATCTATATTGTTTATCAAACGTTTGGCGTCGTCTGTGGGAATTTCTAGCTAATTATTTAGTTTTCTTTAGATCTACAGCTAACGTGAGTCACTAACCTCACAAACCCCAAGATCTTTCTTTTCTTTGCACATACAAAAACCTACATGGGAGATAACCAAGGAGAGAGGGCTAAAGTAACAGGTGATTTCCCTAGAAACCTCCACGTCCACAGAAGAAGAGACGCCACCGGCCGTGAAAAAACTCCTCGAATCATGGTTGACCAATACACTAGTAAGCGTCCTCAACAAGCCCACTCCATGCACGACTATAGAAATCATAAGAACCCACACAGTGCAACAAGCAGACGAACAGGGCGACCAACCAGACCCCCCAACACCAGGTATAACTCACAATATCACTAACAATGCAAGTGACAGCGTCCTCAATGCTGTTCTAAAGAGGATGGAAGAAATGGAGAATAAAAATAAAGCACTTAGAGATCAAATGAAAGAACACCAAGAACGAGTCGACAAGATACTGAGCGTCCTTAAGCTATTGCCGAAGAGGGACGCCGGTAGGTTCATTGAGCAGCCGTACAGCGAAGAAGCAGCCCCGCATGCCATACCAAAGACCTTTAAAATATCGTTGTATCTCAGAATATATGACAGAACAACTGAACCCGTAGATCACGTTACTCACTATGTCACCACCGTGAATGGCAACGACCACACCAAGGAAAATGTCCTTTATTTTGCTGAAGAAATTCGGTAAAACTCTTACGGGAGGGGCATTGACACGGTACTCACAGCTACTGTCCCGCTCCGTAGAAACCTTCGAGGAAATGGCTGATAAGTTCATTATGGCATACGCCGGAGACAAGAAAGCCGAAACAAGAGTAACGACATATTCGCCATCAAGCATTCCTTTGGAGAGAGATTGAGGGACTTCCTCGCCTGATTCAATAGGGTAAGGATGACCCTACCAAACGTGTCTGAATGGATGGAAGTCACAGATTTTTAAAACGGCTTGAGTAGAGATGGTTCGAGAGCGACTAGAAAACTATTGAATCAGTTGATGAAATATCCTCCAACCACTTGGGATGAAATCCATAATGCTTATTGTACCGAAGTCCGAGAATATGAGGATGACCTCAACGGGCCAACTCAACGGTTCATGACCCAACAAGGAACAACATCAGCCAAACGTCAGGGGCCCAGCCCCACCTTCTTTCTGCTATGATGAAGGCCTATCTAGGATGAGGACGGGGACTCGCCGGAACGATCGAGGTATGCCCCCTTATTATCTACTCATAATTTTTGTGTGTCACCTACAAAAGTAGTCCATGCCCAAGAGAAACTCGGTAAGAAGGTTAAATGGCCGCCAAAGATGAGGTCCGATATGAGCACCAGAAAATCAGACGCCTTCTGCGAGTTCCACTAAGAGCGCGGACACAAAGAAGAAGATCGCATCGCCCTCAGGCAAGAGGTTGTAAACATGTTGCGGCAGGGACACCTCAAAGAGCTGCTGAGCAACAAGGGGAGAAACAACTTGGCTAGAGGACGTGAACACCAAGGCCTGTCGAAGCCACCGTCACCAGATCACACTATCAACATGATCATCGGTGGCAGTGGTGACGCCTCCATCAATGATGTTAAATTCACTACCACTCACAAGCTCAAACGATCTATCACCCGCGAATGGTATGACGGACTTGAAGAAAGTATCATATTTGATGCGTTAGATGTCGCTGGTTTGACTTTCCCTCACAATGATGCTCTCGTCATTACATTGCGCATTTTAGATATTGATGTCAAATGTATCATGGTAGACGATGGAAGTGGAGCGTGGATTATCCATCCCCGAGTACTTACCTAGATGAGACTCAAGGACAATATAGTGCCACACTGCATCACACTAACCGGTTTTAATAATGCAATTGAACGGACATCGGGAGAAATTACCCTCCTCGTCTTGGCCGGCGACATAACGCTGGAGACGACCTTCCACATCATGGACCAGGCCACCGCATGGATACATCCCATAAGAGTCGTCCCTTCCAGCTTATACCAAGTAATCAAATTCCCAACACCTTGGGGGATATTCAACATACGAGGAGAACAACGCATATCTCGGGAATGTTACCACGTCACCTTAGACAACATGACAACCCAACAGAAAAAAAACAAGGAAAAGGAGGCATAGCAATCAACAGGTTCGAGGCCGATAAAACAAGAGACCAAGGACGTCATTATGGATCCCGAAATGGTTTAAGCCACGGACTCGACTATAGAGGACCTCGACCCCGTTTAATTAGATACCAGCGACTGCAGCAAAAAGGCCTACATCGGCTGGAAACTTCTAGAACTAGGTAAATTTAGTCGATTCTTAATAACTAATGCAGATTAGTTTGCCTTCAGCCTTGCAGATATGTCGGGCATCCCTAAGGATATTTCCACACACAAATCAAACGTCGATCCGTTCTACCCCCCGGTAAGGCAGGTCAGACGAAAGTTCAATCTTGCCATCAACGATGCCGTCCATGAGGAGGTGGAAAAGCTGTTAGAAAATGGCTCCATCATGGAGTCAAAATACCTCAAGTGGATTGCCATCGTAGTGATGGTAAATGGAGGATGTGTGTAGATTTCACGGACTTCAACAAAGCGTGCCCGAAGGATTCGTTCCCATTACCACATTTTGATCAACTCATCGACGCAATGACCGGTCACGAGTTGTTGAGTTTCTTGGACGCATACGCGAGCTATAACCAGATACTTATGGAAGAAGAGGACCAATAGAAAACCACATTTATCACCCACCGAGGAACATATTGTTATAGGGTCATGCTATTTGGGCTGAAGATGCGGGCTACATATCAAAGATTGATCAAAAAAATGTTCAAAGATCAGCTCAGCAAAACCGTGGAGGTATATATCGACGACATGCTGGTCAAATCCGTAAAGGCAGGAAATCATATCGACCATTTGAAGGAAGCTTTCGACATACTAAGACGATATAGAATGAAACTAAACCTAGAGAAATGCACATTTGGGGTAGCCTCGGGAATATTCTTGGCCTTCTTAGTGTCACAACGGGGGATTGAGGTCAACCCAGCCCAAATCAAATCTATAGAAGGGATACCGGAGCTCCTAACTACCAAGAAGCAGGTCCAAAGGCTGACTGGTCGAATCGCCGCCTTATCAAGATTTATCTCGTGGTCATCTGACAGATGTCACAAATTTTTCGGCGTACTCAAAAAGGATAACGACCTCGAGTGGACGCCCGAGTGCATACAAACTCTGCGAGAACTGAAGACGTATCTGTCATCACCGCCTCTACTCTCAAATCTCGAACCCGGGGAACATCTCCTAGTTTACCCGGCCATCTCCGAAGTAACAGTAAGTGCAGTCCCGATTCAAGAAAAAAAAGGTACGTAATGTCCCATTTATTACATTAGCAAAACACTCGTTGACACCGAGACAAGGTACCCGCACATCGAGAAACTTGCCCTGGCACTTATCATAGCTTCACGAAAGCTTACACCATATTTCCAATGCCACCCAATCTCGGTCGTTACCACATTTCCCCTAAGAGGTATTTTACATAAACCCGAACTATCGAGGAGGCTGGCCAAGTAGGCCATCAATCTAAACGAGCATGATATCACATATCAGCCGCGAACTGCGATAAAGTCACAAGTGCTCGCCGACTTCGTCGCACACTTCAGCACAAAAATAATGCCTGGGGTCGAGAAGGAATCCGTCCAAGCTTCTCTCCATACACAAGACCTTTGAGTCCTACACACCAACGGCGCATCCAACGTTTTCGGATCCGAAATGAGACTCGTACTCAAGATCCCTACCGGTGAAGTAATTTTCCAATCCATAAGATGCCCAGATATGACTAACAACGGGGTCGAGTATGAGGCTGTAATTGCTGTATTGAGGTTAGCACTAAAGTATGGGGTGAAGCGGTTGAAAATCCACTGCGATTTCCAGCTCGTAGTCAACTAAGTCACAGGGACTTTCCAAATCAAAGAATAAAGGTTGCAAAAATATCAGCCCAAGATCTGTAAGCTACTGCTCGAGTTCGACGAATGCCAGCTCGACCAGATCTCGCGTGCATAGAATGTTGAAGAAGACATCCTCGCCAAATTGGCCGCAGCTACCAAAAGCATCACGACAGGGGATAAAAGTGTAGCCCACATCCTCAACTCATCGCTAGGCCAAATCGAGGTAAGATCTGTAAGCTTAACTTCGGATTGGCGCAATCGTATTATCACCTATTTTCAAGACGGCGCACTCCCAAATGACAAAAAGAAATCCAATAAACTAAGAATACAAGTAGCCAGATACAATCTCCTCCATAGTGACCTATATAAGAGGACATACGACGGCCCTCTAGAGAAATGTTTGGGCCCAAACAAAACCCAACGCGTCCTCGAAGAAGTCCATAAAGGCCATTGTGGCACTCACTCTAGCAATTGAACACTCTTTAGGTGTCTTAAATGGGCAGGAGACTATTGGCCCACCATGAAAAAGGACGCCTCAGAATTCATGAAGAAATGCGAATAATGTCAGAAATACACCCCAATAATTCACCAACAAGTCCATATTAACCATCATGAAGAACAAGCTCGAAGACGCCAATGGAATGTGGCCAGGAGAGACACCCTACTCTTTGGTCTATGGGACCGAAGCAGTCATATCAGTCAAAATCGGAGAACCCAATTAAGGTACTCCCACGAAAGCGGTATTAGTAATGATGAGAGTAGAAGGCAGGAACTCGATGAAATCGACGAATGAAGAGATATGGTGCACATAAGGATGGTCTCCCAAAAGCATCAAGCAGAATGTTATTACAACAAGAAAGCAAAGGTTCATCCGCTTAAAGTCAGGGACTACGTACTCAAAGATAAAATTCAAGCAAGCAAAGACTCACAGGAAGGCAAACTGGGAACAAACTGGGATGGCCCGTATAAAATTACATCCAAAGCAAACAACGGTTCGTTCCAATTAGAGACAATGGAAGGAAAGCCATTACTGAACAATTGGAACATCAGCCACCTCAAATACTTCAAATTCTAAAAGGAAGAAGTGGCCCCAAGTCGTACACCTTTTCCCTCACTTGAGTTTTGTCCCATTAGGGTTTTATCAAGGAGGATTTGAATGAGGTGACAAAGGGGACACTTCGAGTCGAAATATTCGAGGGAGGGACTGCTTTTCTCTTTCATTGTTCAACTCTTTAATACTCTCCAAGTCAAGCAATGAAGGGACAAGATAGACAGGGACTGGGACTGGAACGTCAGCCAATGCCAAAAATTTATAACTCTCTCCAATCATGCAATCATAGAAACAACGTCAAAGTAATAAGAAACTTACGTTTATCAAAAAAACCTATCCACGCTCGGCCACGATTAACAAAAGGTTAAGTTTGACCCCGCTCGAACAAAACCTATCGGCCCTCGGCCGCGATTAACAAAAGGTAAGTTCAACCTTGCTTGAACAACACCTATTGGCCCTTAGTCGCGAATAATAAAAGGTTAATTTTGACCCCGCTCGAACAACAACAATCGGCCTTTGGTCGCACATTAATAAAAGGTTAGAATTCGACCAAGTTCGAACAACACCTACCGGCCCTCGACCACAATTTAAAGAGTGTAAAATTTGACAAGTTCGAATGACACCTATCGGCCCTCAGTCGCACCCTAATGAAGGTTAGAATTCGACCAAGTTCGAACAACACCTACCGACCCTCGGCCGCAATTTAAAGAGGTTAAAATTCGACCAATTTTGAATGGCACCTATCGGACACATTTCAATAGATGGTTAAACTTAACCAAACAAGAAGCTAAGTCCGACCAAGTTCAAACTTAACCGATTAGTCTATAGACATCCTCGACCTATACGAGTAAAGGGGTAATTCGGCCCATAGCTATTCAACCCAAAGACTTTGATATTAATAAGAACGACGGCAAAAGTATGATCGAGCAAAACACGCAAAGTACAGGAATAAACCACAGAGAATAAAAGAGGTACAAATGAAAGAAAAAACCAACTTTGATATTTATAGACAAAGGTTTCTTACAAAGGCTCTTGAAGACGCCAGTAAAAATACAGAAAAACTTATAGAAACAAACTACTGATGGCCATCACCATCACGATCTACGACATCCTCACTGGCCCGATCTTCAACGCCATCTCCCTCCTCGCCCGGAGGATAAATAGAATCATACCAGACCTTATCCTCAAGGCGATCTACAACATCCTCACTGTCCTCATTTTCTTCGCCAGGATAAGACGTAGTCGAGTCGTAACCACAAGCAACCCGAGCCTCACGAGCCTTGACCCGAGCATCCTCAAAGTCCGCGGTAGGAATGGAGCACACCGCATGCAACTCACGAATCCCATCCAATCGGGCCTCTTCATTAATCCACTCTTTATACAGCTTACAAAGAACGTTAGGGAAGCCATAAATCGTAGATGAAGAAGGACGTTCAAGTAGTTTGTCTTTCTCGGCCTCCAGAGCGGCAACTTGATCGTAAAGATCGGAGGTCTCTTTCTCCAACTCCCCAATCCTTTCATCAAGCCATTCTTATTTAGCCCTCACCGTCGATAAGTCATTTTCTCGCTCAGAACGAAGGGTTCAGTTCGCCACATCAAGGAACTCCACCCTCCTCTGAGACTTCGACCGAGCAGACTCCACTTTATCGAGCTCTTCCTGTTTCTCAGCAACCTCACCACTAAGAGCCTCTGCCTTGAACTGACACTCTTCGAGTTGGCCTCACAGTAGGACCACTTGGGCTTGGAGATCGTTATATTGGGCCTCTACGCCCTTGGTAAGCTCAAGATCCTCATCTTTCCCCTCAACGTCACTTC